CTAGCCTTGAGCTGAAGAGCTGAGGGACAGCGCCCAGGCCCAGAGTTCAGGCCCCATGACCAGACCCCCCCCCCAAAAAAAAAGTTAGCTTCATATGAAATTCAAAACTTTCCACTTGAAACAAGGAGCTATTTTTATGTAATCATACTCTACAATTTGATTTTTAGGGGAACAGGGAGGGGTAACTCCTGTTCCACACCAAAACTTTACTTAAGTATGTGCCTATTTTCTTTTACACCTTACCTCATTTTCAGTCATGCAGTGGAAATGCAGATTTCTCCAATGTGCCACATAGGGTAACAGATAACGATAGTTGACAGGGTTACAGTACAGATGGACACTATCTGATTTAATCAATATAATCACATCTGCAAGATAAAATAAAATCAAAACACAAGAGTATTATTCAAAGGCTTTTTCCATTAAATGTTTTCTGCCAAAAAATTACTAAAATCATTAAAGGATGAGTATATATAGGCTCAGTGATAAAGTATTTGCCTGTATATGTAAGACCCTGGGTTCATCCACACCATCATAAAAAGCAAAACAAAAACCAAAATAAAATATTAAAACCACTTCAAAAACAATGTAACAAAACCTTAAACTAAAACTATTTAGTTAGTTAATGTGCTTCAAAATGACTATAGAACTGTCAGGTAGTGACAGTACGGGTTTATTATACCCTGTACAGTGTTCACATCACTGCCTTCTTGATAAGGTCAGTACAAAATTAGTCAAATAGGCTTCATATTCTGAAATAGTTGTGTTTTGCAAAGCCCATCACAGTCAAATCTGTAGTACTAAACTCAGTTGTGTACTTCAGTGCAGAGACAAATATTAGATAGAATCCATGGTTACGGGGGCAGGAAACACCACCAAGCAGGGTAGTGACTTTTCTTCCACAGACATCAGTGTTGAAAACTCTTGGCCACTGGCTCCAGATAACTGTGGGCCTAAACACTGTCAGTTTTTTGGAAGGGTTCCTGTAGGGCAATGAACTCTGTACACAGGAAAAGCTGGGAGGAAGGAAGTAGAAATGGAAGAAGCATCTATAAATATATCAGCACCTCACAGACTTAAGGAACAGCCATTAATATTGGTTGGTCATGTAAATAACATAAATCCCAAGGGTACAAATAAACCCAGGTAAACAGAAGGAGCTTGGAATGTGGCAGGAACAGTAAAGTAGCCAGAATATTAAAAAGAAAGCAGTCAGACTTCCAGAAGAAAATGAAGAAATAAGTTACTGGAGGTGAAAAAGTACACGGGGGAGGAGAGTATCTGATGCAGCAAGTTTAGCAATGCCAACACAGCAGTGCAGTGTGAAAGACCACACTGTATGAAAACACACTAAATCCCAGTAAACATTAACCCCAGCTGACCACATGTCTGGGTGGCCTAAAACAAAGCTCCATGATGATGGCCTTTTAAGCCATGCTGCTCTATACCTGGCTGGTCCAGAGTGTTCAGGAAACACACTAAGCACAGCTTTTCACTATGGACTCCTAAGGAAGTGCTAGAAAAGGCTATGCTCTAAACCAATCTCTCAGGACTGTGCTTCCTCCTCTTCCCTTCCCCCAACAGTCTGGTCCTAAATCAGTTGTAGATTATCTACTGAAGAGTAAAAGTGTGATATCACTGAAAGACTGAGGGTTTCTAGTATCAAACTCTAAACTGTAACTCAAAAAATTAGAAGCCAATAACAGAACACAACAGCCTTAGGCTAAACCTAACTAAGCATTCTCAGGTTCTCAAGACTGATGTCACCATGATTTGAATCTAAGTTTAACAGAATATAGAATCAGGTAAAAGAAAGAAGTACATAAGAATGAAATGAAAATATAAGATATTTTTGTGTCATTTTAATAAAAATCCCTAATGTTGGTCTCTTCCTTCCTCTATAGGAGCAAAATTTATCTGGTGATTTCAAGTTTCTAACTATTTGGATTTTAAAATAAGTTTATAATTTGGAGGGAAATGTTCATTTGCTAAACATCCTTTGAGCCAGGGAACAGTATAAATGTAAGTAAAAAAGCACCGCTGAGCTGGGTGCCAGTGGCTCACACCTATTACATAATTCTAGCTACTCAGGAAGCTGTGATCTAAGGATTGCAGTTCAAAGCCAGCCCGGGCAGGAAAGTCCGTGAGACTCTTATCTCTAATAAACCACCAGAAAACCAGAAGTGGTGCTATGGCTCAAGTGGTAGAGGGCATACCCTGAGCTGAAGAGCTGAGGGACAGTGTCCAGGCCCAGAGTTCAAGTACCACAACTGACTCCTCCCCCCCTCCCACCCACCCCCAAAAAGCACCTTTGGAAATTTAAACTATTTCCTTAATATCAGTGCCCTAATTCCCTTAGTCACCTTGTTTTCAGGGAAATATGTGGCTGGAACAAGATACCAAGCTGCTTTCTAAATTAGCAGAGGCTATGCAATATATAGGGAAAATTTTTAAATCAAAATCTGAAACCAAATTTGAAAATTTTAAGTTAATGGAACAATTTCAGTCACCTTTTTCTGTACTTCCTGATAAAATGGAAAGCTTCAATTAATTCATAAGGATAAACACTAAACTATTAAGGACACTACCACAGAAGAATTTTCATATACACTACAACAGGTTTTGTAAAACTAGTTATTGATAGTTTGGGTCAGATTCTTTGTCAACTGGATATGGTGGTGCCCCTCTAGAATCCCAGCACTAAAGATACTGAGGCAGGAAGATTGAGAGTTCAAGGCCAGCCTGGGGCTACACAATGAGAACATGTCTTAAAAAAAACAGATAATTTTGGGGGTGTACATTATGGGATGTTTAGCAACACCCCTAGCCTCTACCCATTAGATGCCAATAGCATCTGTGTTCAGCTATGGACATAAAAAAAAATGTCTTTAGACATTGCCAAATGTCTCCTGGGGGACAAATCTATCCCCAGCTGAGAACTATTATACTCCAGAAAGCTCATTTCACATCAGATATTTGGTTTTGCCTCCCCCAGCTGCCTCACAAGAGGCTGTCTGTGTCTTGTCCAGTTTTATTTGTCTGTTCCTGTGTTTTCTAACCCATCTGGCAGACAAGTCATGATGTTAAGTATGTAATATCAGAGATAGCTCCTGGGCAACAGCCCACAGCAGCAGCAACACAGGCAGAGTGTCTCAGAGCCAAGGAAAGAGGAATGCAACAGAAAGCCTGCATTGTTGCCATAAACATCATCATGAATTAAAGTCACACAAAAACAATTCCTAAAGTCAGCAAGACAAAGAGCCTTTGTTTCTCAACTGAAGATCCACATGAAGTCTTCCTTACAAGACAGCCTGCAGGCTCATCCTTGCCTCACAACTGACATTGCTTTCACTGGACACCAGTACATAATCTGAACCTGCATAAAAAACCAGTGAGCAATTAAAAGGAAAAAATAGTCCCTAGCCAAGGCTTTCTTCCCCAAAGCCAATTTACTCAGTTTAAAGTGTGTGCGTGCATGCATGCGTGCGTGTGTGCGTCTGTGTGTGTGTGTGTGTGTGTGTGTGTGTCTGATTTTACCTCCCTCCTCTAATCCTTAGATTTCAGTCTCATAAGTAGCTAGGATTACAGATGTGAGCCACCAGCACCTGGCCTCAGGAAATGTATTTTGAAAATTACTTCTTAGTAACTTCTTATGTAGCATTTGGACCATCAGAAAAGAAGAAATGCTTTTTTTTCACCATTAAAAAATTTTTGTAGCCAGGCACCGGTGGCTCATGCCTGTAATCGTAGCTACTCAGGAGGAATGAGCCTATAAGATTATAAATTCAATGTCAGCATTCAACAATAATAGTGAGACATACCCCCCCCACTCAAAAAGCAATAAGCAAGAATTTATTGGGGTTTTGGATTACTTTAAATCTGATCATATTTTTCCATTAAAATACCATGAAATAATGCTAATAGATCATGAAGTGTATTCTAATTGGTAAGGTACCTAGCAAGTGTAAAGTGCTGAGTTGAAATTCTAGTACAGGGAACTGAAGGAAAACATGAAATAAGGATTTAAAGGAATAAATCATGCTGTATGCTGGTGGTTTACACCTGTAATCCTAGCTATTCAGGAGGCTGAGATCTGAGGATTGCAATTGTAAGCTATCCTTGGCAGGAAAGTCTGTGAGGCTCTTATCTCCACTTAAACACCCCAAAAATCCAGAAGTAGAACTGTAGCTTACTGGTAAAGCACTAACCTTGAGCTCAAAAGTTCAGGGGCAATGCTCAGCCTCTGAGTTCAAGGATCTTGATCAATACACAAACACACACACACACACACACACACACACACACACACACACGAAAAAAGACTACACTCTTTTTTCAGTTTACCAGACTTACCATCTAAAACTTCTTCAGAAAATCCTGTTTTCTCAAAGTCACTGGTATTCTGATTATATAAACCAAACAGAAGATAATTTGCCAGTTCTCGGCAGCCTTCATTGTACCTGCTATCAATTCCTGCAAAGCAAAAAAAGGCTCTGATTAGCTGTCCTGTACTATGGGGTACAATGAGCCCCAATAATTTGCCCCTATTCAGCAAAATTATGATAGTCAAAGGCAGTGGCAGAGACTAGTTTTATGCTAGAAACTAAACTAAGCAACTCTCTTTGAAAGAAACAGGTCTCAATATCAGGTATTTTTATTTTGATCTCAAAACCTATTCAGGTGGGCTGGGAAGGTGGCTCAGTGGAAGAGCGCTTGCCTTGCATGCATGAGGCCCTGGGTTCGATTCCTCAGCACCACATAAGCAAAAAAGAAAAAAGCCGGAAGTGGCGCTGTGGCTCAAGTGGTAGAGCGCTAGCCTTGAGCTGAAGAGCTGAGGGACAGCGCCCAGGCCCAGAGTTCAGGCCCCACGACCCGACCAAAAAAAAAAAAACAAAACCTATTCAGGTGGGATGATCAAATAGCAATCATTATTGAAGTTACTCATTTCTATAATTCTTGAGAGCAAAAGGAACAAAAATTATGGTCTTACCTGGTTTGGTAAAAATTTTGCAATACTTTCAGTTACTCAGACTAAATAGTTACTAAATTTTGATCATTGTTACAGTGGCAACATAAAACTAACAGTCACAGATTGGTGTGGTGGTGTACACATATATTACAGAACTTGAGAGGCAGAAACAGAGAATTACTAGTTTGAGGCAAGCTTGGGTTACAGAGTGAGACCTTGTCTCAAAAAAGCAAAACAACAATAAAAACACACAAAAAAGAAAACAACTGAGTGGGATTGGAAACACTCATAACTCAACACGTGTCAGGAGGAAGGCCTCGCACTAAACTGGATGCAAGGGTATGGTGACATATGTGCCTATAAATGGCCTTTTCAAAGCTTTCCATCTAGAATGTCTGAGTCAGAGACAAAGAGAAAATTATACATTATTCACTAATTGCATTTCAATGCATCAAGAATACATACTACCTGTTTCTAGGTTTCTGTGGAGCTCTAATATGAGGGGTCTGGGTAAGACAGAAGTATCAAGAGTAGGAGGAAGATGCCTATATGAAGCTAAGAGGAAGGAGGTGGGGCAAAAGGAGCTCCAAGAATAGTAAGAATCCCATGTCCCACTGATCTCTCTCTTATCCACATTTATTAAAATAGCAACCAATTTCAGGGGAATGAAAGCTAGATGAACATTAATCCACTGTTTATTTTGCAATGATACTATTATTTTTTCATGAAAGTGATAGGAATTTTTTTAAAGCAAAAATATGCTCTGTGAGACAATTTAAAGGCAAGCTGTACTAGTGTTACAGCAGGTAGTTTAGCATTCCCTCCTGCCTATATTGGGGAGATCAAGAAAGGTGGTAAGCCGGGCGCTGGTGGCTCACGCCTATAATCCTAGCTACTCAGGAGGCTGAGATCTGAGGATCGCGGTTCAAAGCCAGCCCGGGCAGGAAAGACTGTGAGACTCCTATCTCCAATAAACCACCAAAAAACCGGAAGTGGCGCTGTAGCTCAAGTGGTAGAGCGCTCGCCTTAGCTGAAGAGCTGAGGGACAGAGCCCAGGCCCAGAGTTCAAGCCCCACGACTGACAAAAAAAAAAAAAGAAAGGTGGTAAGCCAGGTACTGGTGGCTCACATCTATCTGTAATCGTAGCCTCTCAGGAAGCTGAGATCTGAGGACTGCATTTCCATGCCAGCCTGGACAGAAAAATCCATGAGACTCCTTTTTTTTGGGGGGGGGGAGGTCCGGTCGTGGGGCTTGAACTCTAGGCCTGGGCACTGTCCCTCAGCTCTTCAGCTCAAGGCTAGCGCTCTACCACTTGAGCCACAGCACCACTTCCGGCTATTTTTTTTCTTTTTGCTTATATGGTACTCAGGAATCAAACCCAGGGCCTCATGCATACAAGGCAAGCGCTCTACTACTGAGCCACCTCCCCAGCCCCCCTGAGAGACTCTTATTTCCAATTAAATCACAGAAAAAGCTGGAAGTGGCACTATGCTCACAAGGTAGAGTGCTAGCCTTGAGAAAAAGGAGCTCAGGACAGTGCCCAGGTCCAGATTTCAAGCTTCAAACTAGCCAAAAAAAGGCAAGTGATGTAACTGTAACCCCTCTGTACATCACCTTTATGATAATAAAATGTTTTTTAAACCTCTATAATTCAAAAATAAGACCGAAACAAACAAAAAGGCAGATGAAGCCAGGTGCCACTGGCTCATACCTGTAACCCTAGCTACTTGAGGCTGACATCTGAGGAATGCAGTTCAAAGCCAGTCCAGGCAGGAAAGTCACACAGTCACACACACACACACACACACACACACGCGCGTGCGCGCTAGAAGTGGATCTTTGGCTCAAGTGGAAGAGCACTAGCCTTGTGCAAAAAAGCTCAGGGCCAGTGCCCAGGCCCTGAGTCCAAGCCCAAGGACAGGTTTAAAAAAAAAAAAAAAGCAAATGAGTCTTTGGATAGATCTAGGATGGTACTTTGTTGGCAGAACTCTGGTAACTAACAGATGGAGCTTATGTAGCAAATGGGCATTCTCTCATGCCTAGATTTGTCAAGACTCATTAGGATGAAATATGCCCATATTCCTTACAGAGATTGGTTAATCTCCAACTAGGATCCTGGTCATGGTTAAGAGTATCGTATCATCCTCATCCCCTGCATATTCACACCAGATAAGGGTTCCATTTTGCTAGATAAATATACCAGTTATCAAATGATACTATTATTTCTGTAAACAAGAAGCCAAGTACCATAGCCGTAAGTACCATCTTGTCAAAGTGCTCAAGTACTGACCTAGGATGCAGAGGATTCCATCAGGCTGAGACTTGCTGCTTTGGGTCAGGATGCTCTGAACCTGGCGGAGTCGACTGCCACTGTAACAAGAACAGAAAACAGTTCCTGAGTGCTAGCACAATCTGTGAGAAGAGCAGCAAGTCCTTAAAGGCATGAAAAGAAGGAAAACTTTGCTAGGAATAAAAATACATACTTGAAGAGTAGGAAGAGTTTCCTTCAATTTCTGGAAGAGATTATATACAAGTGGTCGGAGAACTAGGCCTGAACTACTGATATGAACTGGATGGCCAGTGACTCTGACTCAAAAGAGGAGGGAAGCCTAAGGCCCTTTCATATTCAATCTCAGAACAGGACTGAGACTTAGCAGCTGACTTTAAGAACTTCCAAAGACAACTTCTGATGATTTTTAAAAGAAACTTTCCACACTGATTTTCCCTAATGAGTTCTCATCAGTCTGTCTCAAAACCAAAGGCAATAAAACCTAAATGTTGGTATAAGGGCCTAAACAAAGCTAAATTCATCCCTGTGGCTACCCCTACCAAGAATGTCAGCAGAAAATATTTGTTTCCATTTCTGTATAGTTGTATTATTTCAGATTCTATTTGCTTCAAGGATATTCCTATGCTCACTCCAAAGCAAAGTGTAAGGTGTGATACTCCCAGACTTTAGTATCATTTCTAAAGACCCTAATTCTTTTCATATTCATAACCTCTCTCCTCAGCAGCTCTAAAAATGGATGACCAATTCTCTGCTCAAGATTGATCTGTCTTGGAAGTGGCTCTGTGGCTCAAGTAGTAGAGTGCTCGCTTTGAGCTGAAGAGTTCAGGAACAGCACCCAGGCCCAGAGTTCAGGCTCCATGACTGACCAAAAAAAAAAGAAAGAAAAAAAGAAAGTGGATTTTTGGGGCTGGGAAGGTGGCTTAGGGGTAGAGTGCTTGCCTTGCATGCATGAGGCCCTGTGTTTGATTCCTCAGCACCACATAAACAGAAAAAGCTGGAAGTGACCCTGTAGCTAAAGTGGTAGAGTGCAAGCCTTGAGTTGAAGAGCTGAGGGACAGCGCCCAGGCCTAGAGTTCAATCCCCACGACCACCACCACCAACAAAAAAAAATGTAAACAGGGAAACATCTGTGAGACATGCAGGACAAATCTAAATACCTATTTGTTGATATTAGTTTTTGATGTTATCCTGCTCATGGAAGTAGAATGCCCTCTTTTCTTAGCAATCACCTAAGTACTTAGAAATAGTCATGATGTCTATAATTTACAGAAAGATTTGATATAAAAGAGAAATAGTCCAAGCACTGGTGGTTCATCTCTATAACCTTAGCTACTCAATGGTTCCAAGCCAGCCCAGGCAGGAAAGTCCATGAGACTCTTATCTCCAATTAACCACCAAAAAGCTGAAAGTGGAAGAACACTAACCTTGAGCAGAAAAGCGCAGGGATAGCATGTAGGGCCTAAGTTCAAGCCCCAGGCCCAACACACACACACACACACACACACACACACACACACACACACACACAGAAAGTAAGAGAGACAGAAAGAGAAAGAAAGAGAGAGAGAAAGAGAAAGGGAGAAAGAAAGAAAAAAAAGAAAGGGAAAGAAAACACACACACACACACACACACACACACCCCAAAGAAAGTAAGAGAGACAGAAAGAGAAAGAAAGAGAGAGAGAGAGAAAGAGAAAGGGAGAAAGAAAGAAAAAAAAGAAAGGGAAAGAAAAAAAATCAAGCAAGAGAGAGAGAGAGAAGAGAGTAACAGCAAAAAAGATGAAGCATATGTTAACAGGTTAAAAATGACTGAATACAGCTGGTACTGGTGGCTAAAGCCTGTAATCCTAGCTTCTCAGGAGGCTGAGATCTGAGTATCACAGTTCAAAGCCAGCCCTGGCAGAAATGTCCCCATGATACTCTTATCTCCAATTAACCACTAAAAAACCCGTTAGTGGCACTGTGGCTCAAGTTGTAGAGCACTAGCCTTGAGTACAAAGCAGCTCAGAGTTCAAGCTCCACAACCAACAACAACAACAAAAAGACTGAATCCATGTAGTAGGCTTAATGGATACTTATTGGACTATTATTTGACCTTTTCTGTTTGATCTGAACATTTTCACAATAAAAATTTAAAACTAGAAGGAAGGAAAGGATCATTAAGGTATTAGAAGTACTTGACAGAAACAGTAAGACAATTAAGGAAAATAGGAAAACTTCCCCTGGAAAGTAATGCTACTTTTTCATCTTACAATCTTATAATTAGTCACTGCACTAGAAAGATTTCAACGAGTTGGTCCTTGGCCTGCTTCCTAATCCATCTAGACTGTATGCTGACAGGCTGCCAGGGTTACCAAGAGCTCTGGGGTTTTTCAAACTTAGAACCAACCAGTGACACAGCAGGAAAAGGTCATATGACCAAGAAATAAACAGTTCCCCCAGTACTGCAGTAGAAAGCCTAGACAATGCTGTAAACAGTAGTTTCCATAGATATCTTGGCAAATAAAGTCGGACAGAAAATACAAAAGACCTTTTTCTTTCCAGAATAAAGCATTTTCTTAGTGCTTATTTTTTGTTACTCAGAACAACAAAATTCAGTTCTATTTTTCCTTGTACACTTGCTTGCTCCCCAAATTTATGTGTTTTCCTTCCTAATACTGGAGGTTTGAACTCAGAAAGACACACTGTTAGGCAGGTACTCTACCACTTAAACCTTATCCACAGTTCTTTTTACATTAGTTATTGCCCAAATTTAATTTTTAACCAGATTACAGGGCACTATTTGTCACTGAACCATAAAACAGGTCACTTACCCAATTATTTATTTTAACTAAACACACACACACACACACACACACACAAAACATGGTAAGTGTAAAGAAAGCATAATTGCTCATATTCCCAGGATCCATTAGGAATTATTCAATTAACATCTGTGACGTATTTGCTTTTTTGGAGCATTTGTGCCTTTTGGAATTACACATGCAAAGTATTAACTTATTGTCAGTTTTCAAGAGGGAAAAAATAGAATAAAGATTTTAATCGACCTTCATCCCCAGAGGTCACCGTTGAGAGCATGTTTTGTTTAACTAGCTGTTTTTTTTTTAAAATAGAAACCACCAAACAAAAACATACACCTAACTGCAGCAGTAACATTGCCCTGGAGTTCACAGGTCAGGTCTACTTGAGCAGGGCTAGTACATTCTGGATACAAAATTCCACCTTTAGAAGTCATGTATTCTCAGCTGACCCAGTAATATAGCTTAAATCAAATATGCTGCTTTCATAGTATAATTTATTTCTGATTTTCTTTGAGTTTAGACCAAGTTTAGACATTATAGATAACAAGAAGGCAAAAACCTACCAAAAACAGAGGCAACATGCTCAGGGTCACAAGGCCAAGAAAAGATTAACAGGACCAGAACTCAAATGACCCACGATCTGTGGGCTCTGGACTTTGTTTCTGCTACACCTCACTAGCTTCCAGGCAGTAAAAACAGTTGCAGATAAACCTAAACCACTATCTAAATTGCTCTTATCTTCATTAATATATCTAACAGCAAACTCATTGCTGAATGCTTTTATACAAGTGCTACATAACCAGCCAGATTTTCTTATTTATAATTCATTCTGGTTCCCTGAAAATATAGAAAAATTTCTGGGAAAAGTGTACCTGTTTTTCTTCCATGATTCATGTTTTTTCAATCTTGAAAAGTAAACAAAGTATTCATATTATTCTTCATAGTGTATGCCTCCTATTTTGAATGCTTTATACAGTAAATCTTCACACTCATGTGATCCACATCACAGAAGACTGATGTGAACATTTTTGCATTCAGTAATAAAGTATGGGGAGCTGTCAAATGCTTATCATATTCAAGTTATCTGTCCGTTTTCTACTCAGTCACTGGGGGGGCAAGGGGTTCTCAATAGTTACATAGTATTTCATCGTATTTAAAAAGTTGTTTGGTCATATGTTGCAAATATTTTCTTCAATTCTCTCTCTATATATATATTATTTTTATTTTATTTGTTTATTTATTTTGCCAGTCCTAGGGATTGAACTCAGGGCCTGGGCACTGTCCCTGACTTCTTTTGTTCAAGGCTAGCACTCTACTACTTGAGCCACAGCTCTACTTCCCAATTTTCTATTTATGTGGCACTGAGGAATCGAGCCCAGGGCTTCATGCATGCTAGGCAAACACTATCACTAAACCATATTCCAAGCCCCCTCTAGATATATATATTTTTTTGTCAGTCATGGGGCTTGAACTCTGGGCTTTGGCCCGTTTCTGAGTTCTTCAGCTCAAGGCTAGCACTCTACAACTTGAGCCACAGCACCACTTCCGGTTTTTGAGTGGTTAATTGGTGATAGAAATCTCATGGATTTTTCTGCCCAGGCTGGCTTTGAACCATGATCCTTAAATCTCAACCTCCTGAGTAGCTAGGAATACAAGCATGTACTCCTGATATTGGTAAGACTCTTATCACCAATAAACTACCAAAAAGCCAGAAATGGAACTGTGGCTCAAGTAATAAGAGTTCTAGCCTTGAGCAAAAACACCTTAAGGATAGTGCCCAAGCTCTGAGTTAAAGCCCCAGGACAAGGAAAAAAAATACAAAAAAAAACACCTTTAAGGTTTGACAGAATTAAATGTCTCTTTAATTTTAAATCTTAGGGTTTTAATATTTTCCTTTTTACTTTATGTGACAGTGTAAAAAATTCACTTAGCTCTTTATTCCTCTAGAATGTTCTGAGAAGCAAGAACTTCCTTGTATTTTGTTACAAAATCATTCACTGATCCTTTTAGTAGAATGCCACTTGTAGAACATATTAAATTGCCATATGTAATTTTTTAAATCTCTATTTGACCCATATATATATGCTTGTAGAAACATGGAAATAACTATACAAAAAAAAAAAAAAAGCCGGGTGCCAGTGGCTTACACCTGTAATCCTAGCTACTCAGGAGGCTGAAATTTGAAGATCAAGGTTCAAAGCCAGCCCAGGGAAGGAAAGTCCATGAGACTCGTATCTCCAATTAACCACCAGAAAACCGCAAGTGGTGCTGTGGCTCAA